GATAGTTATTGCCTCTGTAGGGCACGTAATGCCTCAGCACCCTTCCATAGAACGCTCCTCTCTGCATGATTCTGAAGAGTAGAGAGCACAGCTAATCCTTCCAGCACTCTGGTCCAGGGGCTGTTTGGACCCTGGGGTGAGAGATGGTGGACCCTGGGGTGAGAGATGGAGCTGAATGGATGGGCCTGGGAACCTTGAGAGTGTTCCAAATCTTTCAATGTCTTTACAAAACCATTAAACACATGGTTATATTTTCTAAATTGTAAGTGCCGATTTGAAAAAAGGAAGGGAAACTAAAGATTTTTCCAAATTTTTCTACAAATGGCAGTTGACTGAGGCAACGGAGGAGATTATGTCCTGTGCTTTCTGGGAGGAGAAAGTATTCTAAATGCAGAGGTAGTTTTGATTATTGTCTCTTTCATGCTGGTGTCAAAGGCAAAGCCAGGATTACACATGCGTTTCAGTTTCTGGGACAGGGGACATTTTGATTAATTAGGATGTTGAGACCTCCCGCAGGAGGCTGCTTTCACAGGCAGAATTTCCTCGGCTGACTTCTCCAGGGAGCTGGGTAGGAGTGGCTGCCGCAGTGAGACCGTGTAACTGGGAAGCAGCCCAGATCTCAGCCCTGATAGGTGGAAATAGCTGGGATGCCCGACCCCTTGGATAAAGCAGGCAAATGAACCTTTCTGCTCTCTTCATGGTAAATGCCCAAAGTGCCTCCAGATAGAACGCTCAGCTGCTTTGGGGTTGAGGAGGATGACTTCTGGGAACAGTGCATTCATGTGCCGATTAATAACCGATAAATTCTGCTAGCTGCACAGGTCAGTGATCTTGTCATTGTGCACCCATTACAGAGTGTACTTACACTTTCCTAGATGAGCTAGCTGTACATCTAAACTGTGTGGTGTGAACTGATTTACACTAGGCTATACATGTAAACTGTATAAAATATTATACGCAATGGTAACACAGCAGTCTTTACTAACTGACCGTACAAAAGGCGTAATAAAAATAGTAGGCAATAGGAACTTTTCAGCTCCACGATATTCTTGTGTGACCATGGTGATCTATATGGCCCATTAATGACAGAAGCATAGTTATATGCAGCATGATTGTTCATATTTCCAATAATGCCTTATGATCTTTAAAGCACTGTAGGATATATATGGAGTATCTTTTATGAGATGAGTTATACTGGGTTTAAGAGAAAGTTAAAATCAATATGTTCACATCTTGAATATGCATACAAATTTTAAGTGGATTTTTTTCAAAAGTTTAACTTTATGCACATAATTTAAAATAATGCAAATCACCCTGGTTTTAAGAGTCACATAATCCCAATCCCCTAGGCTAAGTGCATTTTAGCAGCGTCAAGGTGGTTGCCATGAATCCTTTCCCATTTGCCTGGGGAACAAATGTCCCATTCTACCTTGACAGCAACTACTGCCCTGTTTCATTCCATACTGGTGACACTGCCATTCCCAGGATCACATAGAGGTGAAATCTAAACACAGGCCTCAAGGTTCTGAATGTGTCTGGATTTCAGTCTTCAAGAGGATTAAAACCTAGCCAGACTGGCTTTGGGAATGTTATATGTCTCCATATTTACTATTGCTAATATAAAAAGCCCATATGTCTTATCTGAGCACTCATTCTGTACCCAGAGCTGATCTAATCACAGAAGTTCAAAGGGATATAATTCTATTATTACCCCACTTTAAGTATGAAAAAACTGGATGGATAGGAGTTAGTAAAAATGAAAAACTCAAATCATGGTGTAATTGAGAGTAGTGAGAGGGAAAATGTTGCATTTGGCAAACATTCCTCAGAACGTAAGGTTGTAAATCAATAGACACAACCCTATCCCAGTGGAAATTCTGGACTCTGGGTAGGGACTGTCTGCCCCACAGGTTGCTATAGGTCTTTCTCACCTAGCCATGTTAGGACCTTCTGTGGCATCTCACGTCATTCCCACAGCTTTCATGAACTTTCAAATTAAATTTTGTTCTTCTCAGTTTCCAGTAACACATTTCACTCATCTTCAGATGAGTCCCTTGGTTTGATACAAATATACCACTTGTTCAGAATCAGTAGATAACATCAAGTGTACCATGTAGAGCTGGTACCCTCTACCTTTTTAACTCAAGGCCATTTTTCTCCTTAAGCTGATGGGAGTTACTCTCCCCGACCTTCCAGAGCCCATAACCAACCCAACAACAGCCACCAGTGGTCTGAAAAACCCCAGTACTAGTCACGTGCCGTCAGCCACACATTAGGTGTGCTTCCAAGAGTAAGCCTCAGCACTCCAAATACACAGCCACTTTCCAAAGCTGAGCTGTTCAAAAATATTCTTTCTTGGAAACACACAGATTCTTTTCCATTCTTACTGCCTTCCATATCTATTTGTGAAACACAAACATCGTACCTTCAAAACATATGATTCACTGTGTCTTTTCAGAGTCTTCTACATATCAGAAATGGTACTTGATTAATTTTCTCAATTGATGAATAATAAGATCCACATATATTTGCAATATATCTGTGTTTATTTTTAAGTCCATTCTTTTCAGCAAGACAACCAATTCTGCTTTCTAGGGGAAAAAAAGCCTGTGTTTGGTCTTTGGCTCTAGGTTTAGTTCCAAATATGAAGCTTTAACTCTTGGTCTATGATGTCGGCCTTGCTGCAACTACACACTGGCACATAATGCCATGACTTCGGGGCCTTCTTTTGTACATGGTCTTGTGCCTCTAAACAACTTCATCAAAAAAATTTCCTATTTGTCAACATACTGGCCTTTCCAAGATGAGATGTCTCCCAACAGAACCTGCAGCCTAACATACTAAACTACATGGAGAGAGATGATAACCTATTTACATACTAAAAAGGTCAGCTTGGACAATCAGCAGTTAGAGATGAATTTGCCACTGGTTGCAACTGGAGCATAAGAATTAGGAAGAAGCCTGCAATTTTGCTGTCTTTTTATCTGGGCAGGCAGCAAGCATTAGTAAATATGAGGATGTCTGCTCTAATCCAGAAGAGTGGTACCATATAGAAAAGCCCAGTGATGGACAGCTTGCTCACCATTTAGAGCCTTTCTGATTCTAAACAGGTATGTGACTGATCATGTAAAGTACATGTCAGCCCCTTACACTAAAAACTATAATAAAGAGGTGGGAATATTTGCATAATAGTTTTCCAGATTCTTAACAAAACGTAAGACGTAAACCATACTAGTAGTCTCTCAGTTGTTGGCTACTTCAGCTTAACCTGCCTCTTGCTTTGGGAAAGGAGGCATTTAGAAGGTGAGAAACATTTCCATTGTGATCTGTCTTTTAAAGTCTTTAAGTCTCAGTAGATTTCAGTTAGCTAATGTGAACTGAAAGGGTCTTCAAGGATATCTTGATAGAGGCAGAGATTTGTGCAGACATCTCTAATGTTTTTGCTCCTTATCCATTTGGAGATCCAAGGCAATGTCATCAGACCTTCACTTTCATTATATGTGTGTTTGTTCATGTATGTGTGGGTGTGCGTGTGTCTGTGCATGTGCATGTGTGTGCTCTTATGGTGCACATTGTGTGTATTCATGTGTCTGTGTGTGTCTGTTCTTGTGTGTAAAGGTGCATGGGCACATGTGTATGTACATGTATATGTGGTGATATGCATTCAGTGTGTGGGGGGGGCATGTGTACATGGAGATAAGACAACAATCTCAAGTGTCATCTTCAAATACTGTATACCTCCTTTGAGATAGGATCTCTGGTGCTTAGAGATATGAGCCTGGAGCTCACCAATTATCCTAGACTGGTTGAGCCATGAGCCCCAGGATCTCCTGCCCCCACTTTCCAGCACTGTGATCGCAAACACATGCCACCATGCCCAGCTCTTTCACATGGTTGTGGAAATCAAACTCAGGTTCTCTTGTTTACAAAGCTTTACCGACTGTGCTACTGTATCTCCCTCGCCCCCTAAGTGCCTCCCCTGCTCCAGGCTCCATCTTAACTGTTGGGATAGAATGCAAGAGGAAAGATGTTTTATTCTGTGGTTCAGAGCATCTTACTATGTAGCCCGAGGCCAGCCAGGAACATGCTATGGAGCTGACATTGGCCCTGAACAAGATGCTTCTGCCCCCATTCATGCCCTAATGCTAGGATTACATGCCTGTCCTATCAGACCTGACTGACATTCTGAAAGGAGATCTCACTAGTGTGGCAGTATTGATGAGCGAAGCTGAAGAGCCTCCAGATTTGATGGGGGCTCATTGTGGTGGGAGCAGCAAGTCTTGGACAAGTGCAGCCACTGTCTCTCATGCCTTAGAATGGGGGAGCCATTCAGAGTTTCTGATTAATAAAGAAGGCACGTACTGCTTAAGAATGTCTGCACTGAGAAGTCACATTTTAGCTGAGGCTTTTCTCCCTGAAGGCTCTGCCTCAGTGTCGCTCCATATGAGGTCACTATGTATTGCCTGGACTCTACAGTGTCGGCTGATGCCACACACCTTATCATCGGAACCTTCTTATATTTTATTCAGAATCACAAGGGAATTTAGGAAGACAGATGTGAACCTGGGCTTGTTCTGTCTTTATTGGTGTAGGAAGTGGCTTCTAGGAGGAAACTGCTCTTTGTGTACACATAGATCCCAGATGGTTCAGTACACCTGTCTGCTCAATATTCACATTCTTTGTGGCTCCGTAGTTCATCTGAGTCTTGATGTAGAAAGAGGAAAGAAAGCCAGGGATAACCTAGCACTTCACCTTCCATCCAGCAGAATTCACAGAGAGTATCTGGACTTGGCTAATGATCAGACACACCTAGGCCTTACATGATGAGTTTTACATGTCTTCTGAACTAAATTAGTTAACTGGCATAGGCTACACCTTCTAAAAGTGTTGATTGGGTGTGCATCTTACCCATCAACCAAAGGTCCTCTTCCAAAGAGTTGACAGCCTCCTCAACCTACAACATCTGTGCTCCGCTCACTCCATCCTGCTCTCTCTTTCAGAATACTCAGCTGAACAGGCACAGCGAGTGCTTCACCGGTCGGTCTTCATGACATCCATGTCGGCTCACCCTTTCCGAGACCTCCCCCTGGGCTGGGAGCAGCACTGCAAGCTGCTTCCGGGAGTGGCTGATATCCAAGCCAGCCAAGTGGCCAGGTGGACAGTGGATGAGGTGAGAAGAACCATACTGGGGACCCTGGAGTGAAACCAGCCCACCGCTGGCATCTCCTAATATCTGGGAAAATGTCCCCTGCATGTCTCAGATGGTGCATCTTCTCTATAAAGCTTAACCGTCAAATCAGAGCAGGAAGTCAGGCATGTCTTTGAGGAAACTGGGGAAGTCCACTGTCTGCCTTTTTGCTGCTGCTCTTGCCTACCTCAACCTTACCCTAGTACCAACTCCTGTGTCTTGTCACCATCCCCTCACTAAGTAGAACAGAGGAACCAGTCTTCCAAATCCACACCCCTGCTTTGATGGAGAAACAGCAAAGCATGAACTCCTGTGCTTAGAAACCTCTTTGGGAAAGCACTGCCCTGCCCCAGACATGCGAGACCCTGAGCAATCATGTGTGCTCCCCTTCAGAGCAAGTGTCGGCCCCCATGGTTTCTTCCTCCATACTATAGGATGACTAGTAAACCTCGAGTTGATTTTTAATGGATCTATTGTTAAAACATTGGGTAAGATGTTTTATGGTGGCGAGAGTCAGGTACGATTTTACAATATTGGTTTTTAATATAATCATGCCTTACAACATTGCTTTTGAGCATAGGTCAGTTAAGCCTCATTGCTTGCTAAAGTGCTGGAGCAATGCCTCCTATTTAACAGGTTCATTTTAAGGGAGTACATTGTTTGACTGATAAAGATGTCATGGCACTGGCTGGCCTCAGACGATGCTCTTTCAACCTAGTCAGCCCTCGTCTTCTCTGAGATTCAAGCTAGATCTGGAACTAAATTAGCTCCCAAACGTTCATCAAGCACCTAGTCCAATCACCTTCCCTTGGTATGGATTAGGCTTCTCTTTCTCAGAGTCTTTCCCCCACGGCTGTGCAGACTTGGGAAGCCTGGAGCAAGGCCTGTGCGCAACTCCCCAGAGACCTTGTCTGAAAGCCTGGGATTTCATTTTTTCCCAGGTTCCTCCAGTAAGGGGCAGAGGGTGCAGCCATTGTTCCTCAGCATGCTATGTCTACATACCTACCTCTTTTCCATTCTGTGGAGGGATGGGTCCATGTTATCTTGGTAGTAGAGAGTTGGGTCGATGGGCTGGAGAATACAGGAGTTCTGTTCCTAAGAGAGTAGTTGGGTGTGTGCCTTCTTGGAGAATTGCACAAGCTTGCTAAGCGTGCTCCTGACCAAGGCAACTGAATGAAAGCCTTCTGTGTTTATGATGAAATCATATGTGAGTGGGCACTGAGCAAACGGGAGTTCCAATTGACAAGCAGTTCCTTACTACTTCTAAGCTAGTCATTTAATGTTCTTTCATTTGGAAAGTAAGGCTGGAATTGGCTCCTCCCCTCTCAATAGCCCCTCAGCTCATGACCCTCACATGGTCAAAAATATATGTTAGGATAACTATGGCAAGGCACAATGATGAAGACATTGAGATGGCCAAAACTTAAGTGGCTTTCTTAGGGCCATGTAGTCAATCCCAGCCCTGAGCTGGCATTTTCCTACTGTGCACACACACACTGGACATAGAGGAAGCTAACCCACGACAGGGAAGAGTGGCTGTGTGCAAAGGTGACTAGAGAGGGTGGCCCAGGCTCAGTCAGAAGCTGTAGTCTGCTTGGTTCTTGGGCACAAAGTCACTTTCTAAGCAGGATGATTCAGGGAGACGGGAATGGTTTTCTTCAGAGAGAGCCAAACCAAGGAGAGGAAGAAGCCCACTGTGTTGGTTAGGAGCCCCCCCCAGAATGGCAGGGGATCTAGACTAGGTTTGGTGGTGAGAAACATCTGACTTCAGTGCTTATTTTAAAATCAGACTCAATGCACAGGGAAGTAGACACGACACAAAAGATGAAGAATAAAGTGAGCCGAATGTGATTCCTTTTATAGTCTCAGGACTAAATGCTTCATTAGGATAATAGCCTGAGATCTGCAAGGCCAGGAAGTGTCCCTGGAACAGTGGAGAATGGTGGTACTTTTGGAGGAAGGACCAGTGTAGGTGCTGTCAGAAGGACCAGTGTAGCAATAGACTGAAGGGGCTTTTCTAAGGGGTCATGAAGAATTCTGGGTGAGAGTCTATGGAGTGATACAGTTATAGATGGTAAGTGAGGTATTGCCATTAGAGGGTGTAGGCAAGGATTTGAGGGGAGTACTTCCTGAGAGCATAATGTCCAGAGTCAGCCTCTGAGGAACCAAGAACTGAGAAGGGGGTCAACTGAGGATCCAGAAGGCTCCAGAGAGGCAGGCCTGCACAGGGGTCAGTAGTCCATAGGACAAAGGCTCCGAGAGGAGACAAGTCATGGGCTTTTTGAGAAATGCCTCAGGCCTTCAAGATATTTCGAGTTATTACCCTAAGGAGTAAAAGGTGTAGTGCTGAGACCGTCAGTCTGGGGACCAGAGAGTCCGATGTGAGATCTGCAAGCTTATGTACGTAAGTGTCTCTTATAATGGAGGAAGGGATGCTTTTGTCTATTTCTCAGGAGAGATGGAGCCAGAGAACAGAAGTGCTGCCAGGACCATGAGGCAGTGGAGAGGTGTAACTAGAGTTTTCCTGCCTTGCCCATAGTCAGGACAAATCTCTGTCACCCGCCAGTCCCACAGCCGCTCAGACCCAACCAAGTAAACACAGAGACTTATATTGCTTACAAACTGTATGGCCGTGGCAGGCTTCTTGCTAACTGTTCTTATAGCTTAAATTAATCCATTTCCATAAATCTGTACCTTGCCACGTGGCTCGTGGCTTACTGGTGTCTTCACATGGTGCTTGTCATGGCGGCGGCTGGCAGTGACTCCCTCCGCCTTCCTATTCTCTCTATTCTCCTCTCTGTTAGTCCTGCCTATACTTCCTGCCCAGCCACTGGCCAATCAGTGTTTTATTTATTGACCAATCAGAGCAATTTGACATACAGAACATCCCACAGCAGAGAGGTGACAGGGAAGGAGGGCTCTGGTCTGTTCAAGTTTAGCCTTTAGTGAACTGAAAGGTCAAAGGTTGGAGGAGACAAAGGAAGTGACTCTCCCGTCTCATTATGATTGGGAATGCTTCAAAAGAAAATGCAAGAAGGCTAAAGTGATACAAAGGCCTGTTATAAAAAGGTGATTCCAGTGCCTGAATTCTCTGTTATGGAGCATGTGCATGCTCTGCCCCTCACTGCAGGAAGACACATTGCAGGAAGACATGGGTCCCCTCACTGCAGGAAGACATGGGTCCTTTAGATCAGTGGGAAAGTCACAGGGAGGCCAAGTGTCTTGTCTCAAGTACCCCTGCCCCTGAGTCTTTCTGGTGCCCTGTGGCCATGCTTTCCACAGGGATGTGTTCTAGAGTTGCCCTTCACATCATCTGCAAAAGCCCAGCCTTGGCAGCTACTAGTAAGATGCACTTGAGAAAAAGAAAAGCCGAGACTTACTTCTGGGTCCCTAATCCCCAGGCACATTTCCCCAACACTGAAATATACCCTCAAGCATGATCTTGGATGGATTTAAAATGTGAGTTTGGTGGTATGTTCTGTGTCTTTGGAAATGAGGCTGTTCTCTCAAGGGATTGGCATGGTGGGTGGGGGCATTCAGTAAGTACCGTTACCAGTAGGTACCATTATCAACAGGGTGTGAGGTTGCTCTGGGCACCACGACATGAATGACATCCGAGGAGGGTTTATTTGAAAAGGCAGTCCAGGTCTGACCTGGATTACGAGAGCTGTTTCCGGGCTTTGTTACCAGTGGACATGTTAGAGGGGAGTCCCCAGGGACACAGTATGCTACAATGAACTCAGGCATCCTGTGTCAAGTGCTATTCAATGAGATCTAGCATGGGGCATCTATAGCAGAAGCTGAAGAGAGAGAAGATTCCCTTTGTCTGCACCCTGGCCTGGGAGGGAGACCTCTGCTCCACATAATGCTACCTGTGAAGAGAAGCCAGCTCAGGCCCTTTGTCACTCTCCACAGAGCTGAGAACCGGCTTTATCTCTGTTGTCACCATAGCGGTCTCTGCCGCAGCAGCAGCACTGTTTGCAAAGTGTGGGGAGGCTGTGAAGCCGATTCAGTGGCTGTGAAAGGAAAGGCAAGAATACGTGGCGATATATTATATGTCATAAATGTGATTGTTTTGTAACACTACATTAGAGGTGAGGGTGTGAGAACACATTATCTACTGTGGAAGCCGTATTTCTCACTCTGGGACAGGCACATAGTCTGCATAAGAGTACAAGATGGTTGGAATAAGGACTAACTTTTTTTTTTTAATATTCTTTTACATCTTCTTAACCAAGCTTCGTACTCAGAGTTGGTGATTGGCCAGTGTCTGTGTGGTGAGTGAATGAATGAATGAGTGAGTGAGTGAGTGAGTGAGTGAGTGAGTGAGTGAGTGAGTGAATGATCGGTTCTGTCCTCATACACTGTAGAGTGAACATTTACCATCCCAGGCACGGCTGAGTTTTGTTTGGCTCACATGCAGGCTCTTATACCTCTTCCATTCTGAAACGGTACTTAAAGTACCACATATAAATTGTCCTGCTCTCAACCAAGTGCTCCCTAAAAGTTCATTAACTATAAAAGATGGCAGTCGCTTTAAAAGCAGGCTTTACATGGGAGGGAGGCAGTGTTTTGAAAAATCCAGGGTACTGCTGGCTAAGCATAGCAGCCTTCTGCAATTGGACCCTTCAAAAAAGGGCAAATAAACTCTGCCAAAAAAAATTCAAGAGAGTCAGAGTGGAAACACAGTCCCCAGTGGATTTCCAGGCAGCACGATCCAGCTCACATCTCCAGGCTCAGCAAGAGAGGAGCACCATCATTCGGGAAGATGGAAGAAACGGCCCACTGCAGAAGAGATGCATGCTGAGTGCCAGAGAGGAAGCCAGGGAAAGTAGGTCATGGGGGGACGTGAGTTGGGTAAAGTCGGAGGCTGGTAGAAGAGCCCAGGCAGAGTCATCCTTCTTAGTCCCCAGACTGCTGTCTCATGCCTACAATTAACTTGCTCGGAGCCCTTCCAAAACAAAGCCGGGGTTTTGGACACAGTACAGAACAGTGTGTGCTCCGAAGAACATGGAAAACAGACACCTGTCAGTTCCTGTGCCCGGGGTGATCCCTAGAACCATGACTAACAGTACAGACTCACAGAGCAACCTCCAGACCAGGGATGTGCCCTAGAATCTGAGCCAAGGGCACAAGTCTACGTAACAACTTCCCACATCATGGGTGTTCTTCAGAGTCAGCCATGGTCTGGGTCCCCACAATGTTTCCCCAGGTACTTGTTACTTTGAAAAGTAGACCCACCTCACAGCTATCATTTGAGGGGTAGGTAGCAAATTACAACTGTTTCTTCCCTCAGAGAGTTCACTCTCACTGAGCAGTGGTCCCCATTTTATCACACATTTGTAGGAGAAAGGGTCTTTGAACAGGAAAATGAAAAGGAAGGCCTTCCATATTATTCTGTGGTATGGAAATATTTCACCACTTACATTTGCAAAATCTGTAGCCAAACAAAGCCTACAGGTTTTGTTAAAATTCAACATACAATTTACTTTTAGGGAAAGGAAGTACTAATAATTCTGAAGAAGGCTTTTGGATATTTTTAAGATCTGGACGAAGACTTTTTCCTCAGGAGATTTCATGGTATTGTTCTTTACCATCCGAGAGAGAGGGAGAGAGGGGGGAAAGAGGAGGAGGAGGAGGAGGAGGAGGAGGAATCTTTCAAAAAAAGCAGAGCACCTGAGACAGGTGGTGAGGCCCAGGAGGCAGAGATGCCCTGCTGTATACAGAGAGCGAAGGTAGGGAGCCCAGGCCCCCAGGAAACTGTGACAGTGGCATTGTCACCCCTCGGTAGCCCGTGGCCCATTCTGCCCATACTTTGGTTTCACCTGTTATTTATCCCCATCAGAACCCTGTTTACCTTTCCCTTTGGTGGTGAGCTCTTGGCCAGCTATGCTGAAAAAGAGGAAGGAGTCCCTGTAATGCTGGCAGAGGGGGACTTGCTTGGTGACATATGCAAATGATCAGCACAACTTGGCACCTTTTTGCAGTGAGCAGCTCTTGGCACAAGGAGTAAGAAGATGTCTTAGCCAACTGTTGCAGCTTGTCACAAGAGGCCCACTGTCCCTGTGACTGACATGCTTTCCACACACAGAGGTCATGACTGAGGTAGAGCAAAACTTAGGTCTTGAACCAAGTCGTGGTCAACCTTTTTTTTTCCCTCCCATGATATTTAGTGATTCTTCCAAGTGATTCTATCCCCAAGGGGCCTTTGACAGCCTATGGAAACACCTTTTAGATGTCACAGCTAGAAGGCAACATTGCTATTCACAGCTAGGGACGAGAGGCCAGGGGTGTGAGCAAATGCCCCACAGTACAGAGAAGCACTCTACAGCAGAACTGCCTATCCCAAGGAATTCATGGAGCTGAGACTGAGAAACCCTCCACTCCCAGACTGTCCAGTCAAGAGGATTTGACTTCTGTACCACATCCTCTCTCAACAGCCAGATCTGCAGATCTTCATGCTTTCTGTTAGCTGTAGGTGACACCCTACCCACTGACAGTGGCCTCAGGAGTCCAGGAAGACACTGAAGGCTCACCTCTCCAGCTCTCCCTGGCCTTGTGGAACCAGCCCTCGCCACACAACAGCATCCTCTCTGAGCTCTGAAAATGAATGTCCAGTGCTTGGACCCAGTCCAACTCCACTCATTTGTAATCTCAATGACTGAGTCCATGTTCCAGTCAGGCTGCAAGCTCTGCAGGAGATGGTGATGTGTGGCCAAGCTGAGAACTGGGACTTCAGGCTCCTGGCTGCCGGCTGCTAGAAGCACAAATCCATCCCCAAGAGACCACACCACCTTGCTTTTCCCCATTCGCCTTCTGCTCATCAGACTCTTTACTGCTGCTCATACCTGTCCTGTTTCTGGGCTGGCTCCTGGGAATCTACACATCTGTCAACCATTTTAATCCCAGGAAATACTGTATGTATCGAAGGAGCCTCTCCTCCAGGATCTTTCCCTGACTTTCCCTGAGCTTCAGTCTTACCATCCAAATGCCTTTGCATCTCTCCTACAGGTCACACATGGGACATGCTTATTATAGTGATGGGCAAGATATGCCTTATGTGACATTCTCCTTTCCTTACTCTCTGTGAACTGAGCCTTAGACTCAACAGTAATTCAGTCCTATTCAGAGGTGTGCCCATCACAAAGCCCTCAGACATAGTCATGGTCAATGCTTTCTAGCCAAAAGAGTAGCTTAGGGAAGGACTCAGATGTGACAATGTCCTGGACTCTGGAGGCCCAACTTCAGCCACCTCTACCACTGCTGACACTTGCCCCAGTTTCCCACCAAGGTGACTTGAACAGTGGCCTTTCATTGCTTTCATCAATTCCCCGTCAATACCCAGCATATGTCCCATGCTTCCTATTCATGTAGGAAAACCACCCATATTAATTGTCTGCAAACTGACAAAGCTCCCTCAGCCGGTGCCCTATGGGAGCATGGGGCTTTCAGTGGACCACTAGCTGCCATGTTGATAAGTCTAGTCTGATCACACTTGCACTGAAGTCTTCCCACAGTGGGATGTCTGTGCGTGGCAGCCTGCTGGATGCTTAGGGACATTTCCTAAAATTCACAACCTCCCTTCCACTTTAGAAGGATATTCACAAATTAGTTTTGCCGAGCTAGAATTGTAGCGCTGGAGTGAGGAAGGCAGACCCTGAGCACATGCCGGAGTGTCCCCCAAAAGAAAATATGCTGAACTTTTTGAATTCCCACAGACTAAATGTGGCCAGGAGAACACGGGTGCATCTTCTGGGTGATGGTCCTCGCTATTCTGAGCCCCAAGAATAGTCATCTCAATTCTTGGCATCCGTTTCTGTCCTGAGGGAAACAGGGTCCACTGATCACTGGAGAGTCTTGGAGGGAGGAAGTGCTCTCAGGGCTTAGAGATGGGGCAGATGTTGGTATAAGGACCAGTGCTCTTCAGCTGTCTCCAGAGCTTCTCATGAAAGGCACAGGCAGGTGCTCACCACCAAGTCGAATCACGAGGTAGCAAGGGAAAATAAGCCAGTTCCCCTGAGCTCCTAACCCCCAAAACCCATGTACTCCAACCCCAGCTTGGGGCCAGCCTATGCCACAGCCATGCTAGATCTGTCAAAACATCATCAACATCCACTTATCCAGCCCACACTTCTTCATCTTATCTGAACAGGCAGCATCTGTTGGGGACATTTGGAGGCTATCTGCACTGTAAGTCAGGTCTTCAAGCTATCTCACTACAAGGAAATGTGTGTGTGTATGTGTGTGTGTGTGTGTGTGTGTGTGTGTGTGTGTGTATGTGTATGTGTGTGTGTGTGTGTGTGTGGTGTGTGGTATGCATGTATTGTGGTGTGTGTTCATGTGCATGTGTGTGGTGTGTATGTGGTGTATGTGTGTATGTGTATGTGGTGTGCATATGTGTGTGTGGTGTGTGTATGTATGTGTGGGTTGTGT